AGCCCTCAAGAGTCACACACATACAAAGGTATCTCAGTTGGATCCATCATGGTGAAAGTAATCAACATTATATTAACTAGGCTCTTGTCATTTTATGAATGTCAACTCCTCACAGTCCAGTTTGGTTTTTGTTCTGGTAAGGGATGCAATGATGGCATGTGTCATCAAACAACTTCAAGAAATTGCTTACCTCTCTAATAGGTGAGGTGAGGTTGACAAAGCAGGTATACTCACAGCAACATATGACCACATCAATAGACTTCCTCTTCTCATCCATTAGAAACTGCCTTATAAGCTCTGAATTTACTGACAATCTAATACAGAAACTGTATCAATCTACAAAATCTTACATGTCTGGTAAGGACCCCAATGCAGAAACATTTCAAACCTTATCAGGTGTATAACAAGGAGAAAATGAGAGCCCCAGTCTATTTAATTTTTTCCTAGACTATTCCCTGCACATTTGCAAACAGATGTGAAGAGATGGGTACTGATCATTTAAGTATTCCATACCACATTCCAAGCTAATGTATCAAGAGAAGACAACGGTCCTGCTTTCCTTCTCAAGGCCAATGTACTGATGATGAGGGGAGGTATGCTGATGACATGGGTTTTTTATAGTTAGGATAAGAATGGTCTTGAACAGAAAGCCAACATCCTCTACTATGGTGTTCCAAGAAATAGGATTTAAGATAAACCTTTTCAAAATAGAAACTATGATCAGAATGAAAGCAGTGATGGCACATACCTTGAATCCATCATAAAAATTCAGGATGTGAAATTAGTAAATACTAAACACTTCAAATACCTTGGTATATGGATTAGTTAAAAAAAATTAGTATTGGAGAAAAGGAAATTGAATATAGAATAGGCTGTGCCACAGATAAACAATATCACAAATTGTAGCAAAACCAAAATATTAACCTGAAAGCTTGAGTTGTGTTCTTAAATATCCTCGTCAAATTGAGACTTTTTATAATGACCTGCATGGCACCAAACTCGTTCAGAAATATTTAAACTGTTATCTATATCTCTCTACAATCAATGGTTAAAAATGACTTTGAGTGAAACCTGAGGATCTTGACTTGAGAACCCTATTTTCTGAAAGATTTTTTTAAGAGAAAGATTTTATAAATTTCAATTGAAAGCATTATTGGCTGCTTGGTCAATGAATGCCAAATGTTTCCTTGTGGTAAAATGAATAATATTGCTATTACCATTAACAACATTTCTGTGAGTCCCTTCATTAGTTTATCTAAAAATTGGGAAGACTTGAAAGTGACTTATAATGTGAGACATGTATATCTCTGTTCCTTCAGTTCATAACCTTGCCATCTCAGTGTCTTTTTCAAGTCATAGAGAAACTTTGGATTGATTGAATGATTGATCTGTTTTTTTTATGGTTTCTCAAACCTTTCACAATGTCTCAGTTTTTTGTTTCAAAACATTTCTCTTTGTAAACTTTCAGAAAATCCTTTAATTATAATGTTTATTTATAACATACTAAAATTTCTTGCAGTTTCAGTAGCCTAGCCAATAATGTGAAATTTAGAAAATCTAGTAAAATTCCTCAAACTGTTGCTAAATCCTAAAAATAATGTGTTTGATTGTAATTTATCCAGTTTATATATGCTTTTTTCATGTCATAGAGAAACTTTGGAAGGGCTCTGGGTAATTTTTAATTTCCTTTGTGTGTGTAAAAAAACAAAAAAAACAAAAAAAACAGCTTTTATGGTTTTCCATAAAAGCTAGTGTATATAGTACCTGTATGGAGTCCATGACTCTGAGCCTTACAAAAGGATGGCAAGGATGACAGCTCTGTAAATCCAAATTTTCGTATTCAATCGAATACCTGGCTCATTCCACAAGTGAACAAGTGATTGCGAAGTTTGCTGAAAGCACTGGTAGCCTTAACAATCCGATATATATTTGATCATTAACTCTCTCTCTCTCTCATATATATATATATATATATATATATATATAATGAGAGAGAGAGAGTTAATGATCAAATATGGATTGGAATCCAATAGGATGATTCTATAAAGAACAAATAAGAAACATATATCGTTCTAACATGCTTAGCTTTTTGTTGAAGCTTCATCAGAGATGGAGTGAAAACGGATAAAAAGACAGAATTTTGGTATTTTTTATTTTTTTGATGATATATCTTTGCCATGTAAAGTTAGGAATTCTTGTAGGATTATTAAAAAAATGTTTTATTTTAAGCCAGTTTTGTGTACTATTACCCCCCTTTTGAAAATTATTAGGTCATGATTAATTGAAGATTGTCTTCCTTGTCATCAGCAGTAGTTTTAATAATTCATTCAGTTCAAATCTTGGTCACTGTCACTTACCTGGGTTGCTGGAAGTGGAGATTTGATTACTGATGATAGATTCAATCTGGAAATAGAGATGAAATCACCACATGTTGTTATATAGGTATACCTTGTGTTACGTCATTTTGAGTTAAGTCGTTCTCGATTATACATCGTTTGCCAAAAAAAAAAAAATGTGGAAAAATAAAAATCAAGTTTTTCATTTTATTCGAATACACATCTCTCCGCCACAAATATTGAACTCATAATATCACTAGAAAAGCGTTAAAAGCACATAAAATCATATTACTGTATGATAAATAAGAATAAAAGTATATAAAATCATTAAAATAGGTATATTTACAGCAAATGTTAATATAATCATCATAAATCCTGGAGAATGAAATATGGAAACATGTGTGTCTCTGTGTTGTTGTCTTATTTAGCAGTCTTTAAAAGCTCAATATTGCCGTTTTCCATGGTAGTTCCAATATCTACCATTTGGGGTCGTTGTCAGCGCCACTCATGATTCCTGCAAAATTGAAATCCAGTTTAGTTTAGACATATGCACGGTATATGTCTGCTTATTGCCAACTCTCTCATTCATTTGTTGCTTTGTATTTTGCCCCAATGGCTCCTAAGAAAATTCCTAGTGCAAGTGCTAAGTGTCATGCTATAACACTGGACGATAAACTTACTATGATAAAATGCCTTGAAAAAGGTTATATCAATTGCTCGATCTTTTGGAATGAGTCTGACAACTGTACTGATGATTTTTCACAATAAGGATAAGATTTTGGGACATATCAAATCTGATGCTCCAGAATACTGTTATCAATAAGAAAAGAGGAAAAATCTTTGAAGAGATGGAACAACTTCTTTCTCTTTGGATTGATAGGTTGAATCATCAGTGTACTGCTATTAGTCAAGAAATCATTCAAGCAAAAACATTGTCTTAAAAAAATGAAGGTTAAAAGAATGAAGACGTTATCACTCTATTAAGAAGCAAGGTGATGAACAAGTGGCAGCCGATTTTCCTAAAGCATTGGCTAAGACCATCGAAGAAAACAGGTTTCTTCCTGAACAGATTTTTAATGTTGATGAAACTGGATTATATTGGGAAAAATTCCCAGACTGTTCTTTCATTGCTAATGCTAAGCATAAGGCTATGTCGCTGATAAATTATTTTATTCTGAATACTGTACGTACCTATCTTAAATAATGTAATATGCATTGGGGAGTGTTTATTTGTGGTTTATAGTGTGGTTATTTCAACTTAAGTTGTTTTTTTTTTTGTTTTTTTACCTAAGTTGTGACCTCTGGAACCAATTAACAATGTAGGGTGAGATATACCTATATTCTGATATATTATCAAATGATGATGCTCCTCAGCTACAGGCAGATTCCAGTTATGCAGTGATATATATATATATATATATTGTGTGTGTGTGTGTTTTAGGATTTTCTTTTATTAAATTTCCAACAAAAGTTTTGTTTACATTATAAACATTTAGGATTGTAAATTCACTGAAAAGTTAGCAAGTCTCACAGTTAGCAAGTCTTCTTGAAGCAATCAAAATCATTATGGCCAGTTCTTGGAATTATGATTACTTATTTTCTTGCTTCTGATGAGTACCCAGTCCCCAAGATAGATTCATTCTATTCGCTTGCTTATATATATCTTCATATATATTGGATGGATGTCAACAAGGTGATGTATTAAATGAAATTATTCATAATTTGAATATTTTCATTGCTTAAAAATCAGATGCCTATTTGTTAAGAACAATGTGTTTTGGTGGTAAAATATTCTGGCCAAGATTTTTGTAAGGAGTTAAGGGTGAATAGTATCTACACAGGGGAAGTAGAGTTCAAATTATGGTCTAATCTGTTGTATTCACTTGTGCACAAATGCACTTGGAAAAGGCATGAATCGGTCTCTTCTTCCTCAAGCTATGGGTTAAATAGCAGGATAAACTGGGCTCTCTAGATTGTGGATTAAGCCAGTTTGAGAGGACAACTCTGAATTCAAAACTGGAGGAGGCAATGGGGAAACTGCTCCACTAATAATTCCCAGGAATCTGTGAAGAGCTATGATTGCCTACATCTTGAAGGACATGCCATTAAAAAAAGATTATTTAAATAAACAACTCCAGTAATCCAGTGACAAGGTTGACATGATCCAGATTGTATTTACCATGTCAACTCACTTAGGGATGAAGTTGGTGAGGTTGGGAGTTTACTTAATTTTGAATTAATGTTTTGAGTTATCCATCAGTTAGACCTTCATTGTAGTCTTTAGGCCATTCATGGCTGATTTCATTATTATAAATTAATATTAATTATGAACAGGGACATAGAAAAATGGTAAAGGGTCAGAAGTTACTTAAACCAACAAAAACAGGAAGTTGTGGAGAGCCATGATTAACAATTTTTTGAAGGGAATTGTCACATAAAAGAAGTGGCAATCTTACACACAACAAATGTTATAAATGTTTAACTTTGTAAACTTTACTAAGATATATGTTTCACAGACTTGTTTTTAAATGTTTTTTCTTATTTCTATTGATATAAATTGCATATTTGAGACTAATCACATTGTTATTGTTTTGATTTCTTTCAGAAGCTATATTCAATCGTCCTCTCCCAGATGCACCTATTGATGTACTGGGTACAAAATGGATGTCCAAGGAAAATCTATTGTCCAGCCAGACAGAAGATGATCCAAATCTATTTGTAGCTTTATACGATTTCCAGTCAGGAGGAGAGAACCAGCTCAGTATAGTAAAAGGTAAAGTTGAATAACATGTCTACATTTACTTTTTAATCTGTTAAATGTCCCTTTTTACTTGTTCATACTTGTTCATCCATTAATATTGCTGTAGTTGTATATTTGCCTTTCATTTGTATAAGATTTTAGTCTGTAATGATATTTTTGTTTTGAGTCTGTTTAGACATTATGCAAAGCTTTTTTTCTCATTCTACAACAATTTATTTCATTTCTGCCTTTAAGTATGATAAAGTTATTCATATTATAAAATTCTATTTTTCTTTAAGAAGACTCTCTTCTTTATTGTCTTGTTACCAGTCTTCTCTCTTGTAATTATTCCACCGTTTCCAGTTGCTGGCAGCCATAAATTTGTACAGACTCACCTTTGGAGATAATTAATTTTTTTCAGTTCCTTAGATGAAAAAAATGATCCTGAAATGCTTAAAATAGATCTCTCTTTATGAGGAATATTATTTTCTGTATTGGCCAATTTGGTTTCTTGTTCCCACTACTAAATACAATAGAACATCAGTTACCTGAGCAAGATGGGTGGGTAGGATTTTGTTCTGACCATCCAAAATTCGGATATCAGTATTCAGCTAACTGTTGTTGCACTAATTAGAATCTGTTATAAATTCTGATAAATACTGATGAAACATGGTTTCAGTAAACTAATTTAAATGGTTTAATATGTTTGTTGATGGATATTTTATAGCCTTGGATAGCAGCTGGTCTACCGCAGAAAGAAATGGCAACCTACTGTGGGAAAGTCTGTCTCATCAGTCATATATTGAAAAAATACATGATCGCCTAAGAGTGTATCATGCATTGCGCATAACTGACTGATAAGTGATCTTTTTGCAAGAAAATTGTTAACTAACCAGTTGTTTAAATTTTCAGTATATGCAGTGATGTGCAAAAAAGAAATAGGATAACAGAATGTAACAGTAATGTCACTATATCTTGATATCACGAACCTGCTTGGATCAATATCAGTTATGCTGAGACATGGTGAGTCATTTAAATTATGGGAGTTTGAGCAGTCATAATAGTGGGTGCCAGATGAATGTGACAGTTCATTTCTGAAATTATGGGGATATCTGATATCTCTCAATCTATGGTATCATGTGTGTCCCAGGAATACCAGATGGAGTGCTTTACTGGAGACAGTATAATGGATAATAACAGGTTTTTAATGATCATGACCAGAGGTGGCTAGCTAGAATTTTCTGTAGTAACAAACAAGCAACACTGGCTCAGGCAACATCCATATTCTTTGCAGGAGGTATTAGACACATACCCAGCAGGTCAGTTCAGTTTTCTTTAGCTTCCTGTGACTGCAAACACAGTACCTCACCTGGGTTTGTGATATTGCTAATTGGACTCTGGATGACTGTCAATGAGTCACAATTCCAATGGTTGTGAGTTGGTAGATCGCAATTGTCAATAAGGCACTATGCAGCCTGTTGGTGGTTACATAATGAGGTAGGGGGGTATGTTATGAGGTCTTACCCATTGGTTTATCTTGCATTAGCCTATTTTTTTATACTGCTTATCAACCCATTGTGGATTATTTAAAGCTGGAACATATTTGAATTGTAATGATTTTTTTTTTGTTTTGCAAGTGAATATTACATTAACATCTTTTTGAGAATAGCAATGATTTTCTCAGATACAAATCCTACTATTTAACCCATAGCTTGGGGCAAGAGATGGATTCATAACTTTTCCAAGGAGATTTGTGTGTAAATGAATATAATGAACCTAACTTGAATTTGAACTCAGTTCTCTAATTTCTCATTCTGAGCTGCTACTCATTATACCACCTTTACATCCTCCACCTATAGGAAGAAGGGTGCACATGAAGACATAAAACTTTCTAAAAATCTTTGTTTAGTTACCCCCCCCCTCCTCACAACACATTCATTGAAGGTCATCTTCCTCACTTTTGAAGTATGTGCCCATATAACTGCAGTGGTTTGGCTTGCTTTCAAATAGGATCTGTCCTTCTGTGTGTGTACCTTTTTAGAGCATTTGTTTCAACACTTTTAGAAGATTGGTAACTCTGAGGAAATTCAAAGGTGTCTAACAAAATATTTAGCAGAAGGACTGTATCAAGTGAATTATTCTTTGAAAGGAAGTAAGGAAATAGTCGGTTTTCATGTTGAACCCAAGTGGATGACTATATGTCCACATCATAAGTGGTATTTCTGGTTTGGCTCATGGTGTGACCTTGTGTCTACTTCTCAAAAAAAAAACACGTGCTGCATTTGCTGTGTTTTTATTGAGGGAATGATGTGGAGATAAGCAGATTATCCAGTTCCATAGCACTTCTACAAATGAGATCCTGTTTGTTTTTACTCTGTAGCTCAATAAAACTATTTCACTGATTTCAAGTATTGTCCCCACCTCTTTCAGTTTTAAAAGTGCTCTTTTAAATGTATTCACAACATGATCCACCTGGTCATTTGATTGAGTGTAAAAATGCTAGTGGCTGGATGTGTTGAATACAATCTAATACACATTTGAAATAGTGTAGGAGTTTTCTAACATGATAAACTTGTTTGAACTTTTATTGATGCATCAAAGTTGCAAACAGTGACTCAGCAGTGAAAGGGCTAACAGATTTTTTAAAAATCTATTTAAAGCATGGATGATTGGGAGGTTAAAATAAAGGACAGTTTTTTTGGGGTTTTTTTTTTTTATCCATAGAATTTGATGGGTGTTAACAGGTAGTTGGGTTTTGGAAAGAAAGAAGTTCAATCATAATAGAAATTTTGCATTTAGAAAACATCTGTGAGGTTAAAGGTGATGCTAGATTCTTCATATAAACCAGCACTTTCAAGGAGCAGAACAAATGTATGGGTTCCAATTGTCCATATCAATCATAGAGAACAAAACAAGAAAAGAATTTTGTTCATCTATATTGGTGAGCTAGAGAGGGAACTAAGAAAAAGGGTCCAGTCATTCATAGCAGTCACTGAGGGAGTTAAGATCTGAACCACCTGGAGTAACCAAGAGTTGTGGCCAAAGTTGATACTGCTAGAAAGTTGATACTGCTAGCATAACTGATATAGTCACTGATTGCAAACAGCTTTTTGGAATTGCATAGTCATGTTATACCCAAAGCAATGTTAAGATATAATGGTTGTGAGAACTCCCTTAAAATGATTTTAAAGTTTTGTTTGGTGCTATGATCTAAATTGGGTATGACAGTGAATAAGAATGTCGAAGACAGAGAAATAGCTCCAACACTAATATCCAAAATCATCTGACCGTCATGCATCCATTTACATATGATACCATGACATTATGATTGAAACTCTGAGGAACCACACTGTTTATAATTCACCTTGAGTGGAACCTGTGACAATGACATTAAGGTAAAAAGCAACTCTTGTTAACCCAGTCAGGATAGCATCCATTGTCTGCTATAACATGACTGACATTGACTTTATACCAAACAGAAGAGGGTTAAAGTAGAACTCATAGTGCATGATTATTGTAAGTAGCTCTTTGGAATCATTATCAACTTCCATTTGGGGTGAAATTATTAAAAAAAAAAAAAATTCAACAAGAAAATGCTTTGTAAAACAGGTTCTGTCATTGACCAGTAAATAGGTCATAGTGGATACTTAGGTGAAACAAATGCATCAGTCAGCCTAGTGAACTAATCAGCATATATACATACTTTGCTGTTGGTCTTTTTTATGATGACAATGTCTATGACTAGTTTACCAGCTGGATCATTCCATGACTCCGGCTTGCTGGAGGTGGTCTAATTCTTTCTCCACAGTGGCAAGAGCAGTGTATATCACAGTACACTTCTGTTTGAAAATTGATTTTGCATCTGATTACAGCTCGAGACCCAACTTGATCTTGGTGTAGCACCTAAGGCCATCCTGGTAAACATTGCTGAACTTGGTTTGAAAATTGTTTGTGAAATGTTGTCCAATATATGAAATAGATGCAAGCTATAATGTGTTACATATGAATGTGCATAGGCCATTAAAAAGATCAAATTCCTCAGTCAAGTCCAATTCAAATTGGAACAATTAGATAACATATTCTGAAAAACTGCATATTGTTAAAAAACGCATCACAAGTTAAATAGCTTATTATCTGACTATTTCCTGATGTACTCTGGGCTCAATGATTACTGTTTGTCAAAACAGGTTTACCAATTAGCCCCCAAGTGGAATGTGTAATCAATGTTATATCTGAAACCATATCAAGCTGAAAACAAACTGGAGTTATTTACATTATCGGACCGTTTTCCTCATCTTTCTTGCCTGATACAATGTTTTGGCCATTGTATGCTCTCACCTTCCTTAGGTGATATACGTTGGAATTTCAAACTGAACACTTTATTTAGTCCACGGGGGTAGATTGTTCTAATTCCACATCCCATGGAGTTTTTGGATATCTCAAATATCAGTTAGTTCCCTTTAGTAAATCAACTCTCCAAGTTTTTGTTCCCTCTTAACTCACAACTCTTTGGATCAGGTCACTTTCTGGATTACTCTACCAACACTTTTATCCATTGGGCCATGTGTCCTTGGGGACTAAATAAAGGGTTCTGTTCAAAATTTCAACATATATCACCTGAACATGGTCAGTGTGTGCAACAACTGAAATGTTGTGAATATAGTAATAAAGATGAGGACAATATTCCAAACGATGTAAATAGTGTACATAGTTACAATACCTTATCTCAGAAATATAGACAGAAACTATTATATATTTTCTGCAAGACTCTGTCAATTTGGAAAGTTGTGAATACAGGATTGGAGTGTGGATGTTGGTAGTCTGGCTTATTGCAGAAGGTACTTTAGACTGAATTTGAGATACTCTTTTAGGTTGAAAGTTTTGGCTTTCTGGGAGTTGCAAAAATCTTTGTTGTGAAGAGAAATAACAGGACAAAAGACATGCTCATCAACAGAATGTATAAAATCCAAGGAAAGAATGCTGATATTAGAGAAAGAAAAATATTTCACAAATGAAACAAATACATTGGAAGA